TAGGAGGCAGTGTTCCCCCTAAGCTGAGTTAGTGTGAGCCAGCTCACAGGTTTTTTAGCCTCCGGCTCACCCATTTTTGTCTTAGTTGAGGAAGGAGGGCTCCGAGCAAACTCATTTACGCAGCAGCCAAATCGCTCGCTCACAACTTTAACGCCAGTAGTTCGCAGAGTTGAATTTTTGCTCACAAGACTCCACAGCTTAGAGGGAGCGCTGGTGGGTGGGGGGTTTGGTGATGGTGGTGGGGAGAGAGCCAAGCCCTCTCTCCTGGGGTTGCAATCTCCAGGTGGTGGCTGGAGATCCCCTGGCATTACACCTTTTTATTATAACTTTATTAACTAATATAAACAAATATAGACAAGTACAAAGACATAAAGGTAAAGGTAAAGGTTCCTTTGCTCGAAAGCCAGTCAAGTCCGACTCTAGGGTTGCGGTGCTCATCTCCGTTTCAAAGCCGAAGAGCCAGCGCTGTCCGAAGACATTTCCGTGGTCATGTGGCCAGCATGACTAAACACCAAGGCGCACGGAACGCTGTTACCTTCCCACCAAAGTGGTACCCATTTATTTACTTGCAGTTTCTTGCTTTCGAACTGCTAGGTTGGCAGGAGCTGGAACTAGAGCCGGGAGCTCACTCCGTCATGTGGCACCCGGGTCTCGAACTGCTGAACTACCGACCATCCACAGCCTGCAGTTCAGCATCTTAACCATTTGAGCCACCGCAGCTTTACAAAGACATACAGAACTATAAATAACAATCAACTGCGTTAGAAAATTGTTGCAGAGGGAAGTTACAAACCAGTATAAGCAACAAGAGCCTAACAAAGTTGGATTAATCAGTATATATTGCAGTGATGGCGAACCTTTTAGAGACCGAATTGCCCCACAAAACAAAAAAAACTTCTTGGCTACGGCCCCGTTGGCTGCTGCCTTCAGAAACCAGGCGCAGCGGAACACGTCCGAATCAATTACCCATAATCCTTAAGAACGACTTGAAATGAACATATGGAGTCGGCTTCTTCTGTGCCAGACCCTCAGTCCATCAAGGTCAGTATCGTCTATTCAGACTGGCAGCGGGTCTCCGGGGTCTCAGTTTGAGGTTTCCCACATCACCTGTCACCTGATCCTTCTGAATGGAGAAGCCGGGGATTGAACCTGGGATCTCCGGGGGGGCGAAGCAGATGCTGTACCACTGAGCCACAGGACCTGCCCCGGGGGCTTGTTCTCTTGTTCGATGCAGTCTTGGTCACTGACATTACTAAATAAGGCATGCCGGAGCATGGGTGTCGTCATCGCTTGAGGTTCACAGGCCCCGGTGCCAGTGAGTTCTAATAATAACAACCACCCATTTCCCACTTCTGTATTATGACCGGGGGCAGTGCCCATGTAAAACCCCGCCGCTGAGAATTTCTGCTTTCTTACTGCAGTTGTAATGGGAAATGAAATTCCTCCTCCCTTTCGGGAAATCCAAGAGCCAACAAATACGATGAGTTAAGCCATAAAGCTATTTGCTTCATGTGGTATGCAGGGGAGGGGCTGTGGCTCAGTGGTAGAGCATCTGCTTGGCATGCAGAAGGTCCCAGGTTCAATCCCCGGCTGTAGGGCAGTCCAGGAATCTCCTGGCTGGAGGTTGGGAGCTGAAATGCTTGTACGTCATGAGAGGCCGAGATGGAATCTGTTTACTGCTCACTACGCAGATGGTTTAACCTTGAAGAGGGGGAGCAACTGATAAGAACTTGCCTGAGAGAACTTGAACACACACACACACACACACATTCCAAAAGGATGCTCTAATGCTTGTAACTCCCGGTGTATAAATAAAGCTGCTGCGTGAGAGGAGGGAGTTCCTTCCTTCCTTCATTCAGACAGTTTCTGCAAGCTTGTCTCCTGTCGTCTTTGCTTCGCCTGCACCCCACACCCCAAGGAGCAGCACCACACCCGGCATCTCCAGTTAAAAGATCTGGCAGTAGGGGATGGGAAAGACCTCAGCCTGAGACCTTGGAGAAGCCACTGCCAGTCTGAGTAGACCAGGGGTGTCGATCTCATTTGTTATGAGGGCCAGATCTGACATAAATGAGACCTTGTTGAGCCGGGCCGCGTGTGTCATAAAATGTAATGCCAGCTAGTGGAGATGTAAACTTTATAAAGGACACAAACACAAAGGTTTTTTTTTACTTAAAATAAAAACCTGCTTAAAACATTAGCACTCTTGCAATATTTTGTTGATTTAACAGTGTCTGATAACTGACACCTCTCGCTCTGAATTATTGCATCAAAATGTCTGTGCTGTTGCAGTTTTATGGCTGTTCAGCTGTGTATCTGTAAGCTGCAAACCTACGATGACGCAGCAGCAGCAGCAGAACTGGAAGAACAAGCAGAGGACAGCCAGTTCCACTGCAGGTCTGATAGAAGCCCTCTGGGGGCCTCATCCAGCCCCCGGGCCGCATGTTTGACACCCCTGGAGTAGACAATAATGTCAGGAGAAGTCAGCGGAACTTACCCCAGACACCCCAGAAGGGGATACAAAGGCACAACCCGTAACGACCTCATGGGGTCAGAAACAGGATGGAAGAGCGAGAACCCAGTTAAAGAAATCATGGGAGATCGAACAGGGTATAAAATGCGAAGACGCGAGCCCCTCTACTTACGGGAACCAAGAGGGCACCTACAACTGTCAGAGCCAAAGAGAAAAGGGAGTCAAGGCGCCGGTCCCGATAGGAGAGAAGCTGAACGAACGGGTTATAAAGTTCTGTTCCTTTAAACAGGGGAGTGGGTCATGTAGTAATAAAGAGGAAAGATACACACAGCCGGGGATGACGAGATCAGAACGAAATGAGGCCTGGGAAACAGCTGTGAAATAACACTGCCCCAGGGGTTTTCGAGCTGATAAATACAGAGAGACCCGAACATTAAGGGCTCTTCGGTTAGAGTTCTGAGGTTGGTGTTGTACTATGCCTCATATTACTTTAATTAACCCTCTTCGTTGTGGAAACAGACAACTCCGAACTAGAGGACGCACGCAATTCGTGACAAATAACTACTTTGATGGACCAGCTATCTGAATCAGTATAAGGCAGCTTCATGTATTTCGGAGGGGTTGTGGCTCAGTGGTAGAGCCTCTGTTTGGCATGCAGAAGGTCCCAGGTCCAATCCCCGGCATCTCCAGGTAAAACAATACGGTGATGTGAAAGATCCCAACCTGAGACCCTGCAGTTTCTCTGCTGCTCTGATTAGACAATCCTGACTTTGATGGACCAAGGGTCTGGCGCAGTAGAAGACCATATGCTTCAACATATGTTCATTTTAAGTAGTTTTAAGGATGATGGCTAATGAACTCAGACAACACCGCATACGTGTTCTGCTGCACCTTACGACCTTGGAGACTGGCTGACACTTTGAGTTACAAAACTGACCCTGATGGGCACCGATGGTCTGGATTCAGCGTCAGGCAGTGTCGTGTGTGTGTGTAAGTCTATGAACGATCCCCCACAAGCCGCTGCTCCGCCCTCGCTCTTCCCTTCCCCCTGATTTTAAGCGTCAATTTCCCACTACTTGCTGCGTGGCCGCGTTTTGACCCGCAGCTTCACCCGATTTCCCCCGCGTCTTCTCGATCCTGTTTTTTGAGGATCGAGAAGACGCGGGGGAAATCGGGGGATGCTGCAGGTCAAAATGTGGCCACGCAGCGAGTAGTAGGAAACTGATGAATTCAATCGGGAAGGGAAGAGTGAGGGCAGCATGTCTGCTTGTGGAAAATCCCAGGGCTTTTTTTGTGGCAGGAACTCCTTTGCATATTAGGCAAGACACCCCTAATGTGGCCAATCCTCCAGGAGCTGACAGAGCTCTTCTTACAGGCGCTACTGGAAGCTCTTGGAAGATTGGCTACATTAGGGGTGTGTCGCCTAATATGCAATGGAGTTCCTGCTACAAAAAGAGCCCTGCGAACACCCTTCTGATCGAGCCACTCTTCCACCAAGTCCCGGACGCTTCCCCTTCCCCCATTCTTTTACCTGGGTTCTCCAGCCTTGCCACCCGGGACACTGCTTGCGGTGGCACTGTGAGGGAAAGGGCCACGGATGCCCACAGACTCTCGGCTGGCTGTCAACCATTGGTGGTACAGTTGGTGACCTCTTGGACCCAACCGACAGGGGTGCAGGTCCAGATCGGAAGTATCTTGCTTGGGGCAACAACATACCTTGAACCTTCCCCTGAGATGAGATGTTAACGAAGGGGGCCATCAGAACAAAGGGTCACTCCTATCCCTGCATGAGCTCTTGAATCCACTCATAGATTCGATCAGCCGTGTGTACAGGGCTTTTTTTGTAGAAAAAGCCCAGCAGTTACTCATTAGCATAGTAGGCCACCCCCAACAGCAGAAACTCATTAGCATATTAGGCCACACTCCGACATCACATCTCATTAGCATATTAGACCACACCCCCATGTCACCAGACGTGTGCTCATTCAGCCATACCCACCTTTTGCTTCTTATTCTGTTTACCTTGTTTGTTGTCAAAACCCAGGGCCTTTTTTGTAGCAGGAACTCCTTTGCATGTTAGGCCACACACCCCTAATGTAGCCAATCCTAGTGAGTTTCTGCTGTTGGGTGTGGCCTATTATGCTAATGAGTTCCTGCTGGGCGTGGCCAACTCAGGAGCCAGCCGGAACTCCATTCCTGTGCGTTCCTGCCCCAAAATAGCCCTGCTTGTGTACACATTACAGGGAATGTGCGCACATCCTGCATTGGGGTATGTACATCTGTTTGTAAGAAGGTGCCATATAAAACCAGGGGCCAACACCTAGATATGTTGGGCATCACTGGTCACAGGGATGGTGGAAAGTGCTGTCCTGTTACTCATGCATACAGCATATCTCGTGGGATTAAATCCCTGAGTGTCGTTGCCATTGTTACGAATCGCTGATTTCGGCGGCGGTAAGAACTCTGTCTTTAAGACTGCCGCACCGGGCTATGCTGATAACGTTATTTTGATTTGATTTTTTGAAACTAGGGCAGCATGTTCAACACCTGGAAACCGATGTGGGTGGTGCTCTCGGAAGATGGGATCGAGTACTTCAAGAAGAAGACGGACGGCAGCCCGAAAGGGATGATCCCTCTGAAAGGAAGCACCCTTACGAGTCCCTGTCAGGATTTTGGAAAGAGAATGGTAAGCATATCCCTCAGGGTGCCGAAGAAAGCAGGCTGTGGGGGTTGAGGGGAGTTCCGTAACAGTTCTAGACATATTTTTTTACTGTCATTGGAGAGGATTCAACCATCCGCCAAGAAGCCTTCCTCTAGACCAGCATTCCCCAACATGGTGCCCGCGGGCACCGAAGTGCACCCCAGTATTTCCCTCAGATCCCATCGAGATGTCCAGAAAGTGGGTGGGGACATCGTAAGGCAGGGCTTCTTATTGGCTGCCCTTTTGCACTGAGAATGTAGGACCAGTAGGCACACGGGCTTTTATTAGATAGTGTGTGGTTCCATTCCCCTATCAGGCCTTCCATCTTCCCAGGTGGTATGAGGAGTGAGGTATTTATTTAATCTGTTTAATTCATCTCTACCCCACCTTTTGCATCATTCTCCTCCCCTCCATTTTATTGTTACAACAGCCGTGTGAAGTAGGTTGTGCCGAGAGCGTGTGACTGGCCCAAGGTCACCCAACGAGCTTCCGTGACACAAGTGGGGACCCAAGCTCAGGTCTCTCAGATACGAGTCCAACTTAATCCCTTCACCACACTGGCTTCGCTTGGCTCCACCCCATGGGGGAAACCTTTTTTGGGGGCATGGGTGGGAATTTTGAGAGGGGGTGGTGAGTTCCACCCCAAAAAATGTGCCTGCGGGCTCAAAAAGGTCAGGGACCCCCTGTTCTAGACTAGGGAGCCCTTCTCCAAATTTACGTGGCTCTTAATCAGTGAGAAGGTTAGGATCCACTTAGCCATTGCCAGCGTTGTCTTGACAAATGCTGGGAGATCTGGAGAGGGGTGCCGGGGGAGGGTGGAGCTTGGAGAGGATATGACGTCGCTTCCGAGTGATGCTGTAGGAAGTCTCCCTAATCTCTATGATATAGACCACAGAGACATGAGGAAATTTGTAGAACGTTAGTATGGAGGCCATTTTTTATTACCACTTTTCCATTTCTCCAAGATGGGGATTAGGGCCTAAAGTGAGAGGTTTACCTGCCATGGATGGGGAAATGGCCTTGTTGGGGTTTTTTGCCATCGAGTCCTCTCCCCTTTTGGAATTTGAGATTGAGGGCCAGACCGTGGTTCATTGGTTCCTTCTGACTCCCGAGTGCCCAATAGCTATTTTGGGAATAGATTTACTGTGTAAATTACAAGCAACACTTACGTTTGAAAAGGGAAAGGCAGAAATACGTCTCCCCTCTCTTCAGAGGAGTCTCCACCTCCTGGGGAGTCTCCACCACCTGGAAGTTTCAGGCCCACGATACGTTAAGTTTGCCCCTACTAGGGCCAGGGCTTTTTCGGTGGCGGCTCCTACCTGGGTGGAACAGGCTCCCAGAGAAGATCCAGGCTCTGTGGGACCTTGTGCAGTTCCACAGGGTCTGCAAGATGGAGCTCTTCCGCCAGGCTTTTGAGTAGGAGCCGCCACCGCCACTATTCCACCATCGTGGTACTTTTCCATCATTTACCCCTATTTTGGGGGGTATGCATCGCCTGGCGGAAGCGGGTAGAACATCGTCGCTGGAGTCCTTGCTATTTATTACAGCTGGCCGTCGAATTGGGATTACTGTTCCCATCGTGGGGATCTATATATAGGATAACATCAGAGCACCTTAAATATTGTTTACGGGATTTTATTGTGGTTGTTCAATGCTGTTTTAGTGTATTTTATCCATTTAACCTGGCACTAGCCGTATGTTAGCCGCCCTGAGCCGTTTGGAAGGGCGGGATATAAATAAAAAATAAATAAATAAAAAATAAATAAGATAATTGCGTATGTGGCTGCACTTTCTGGTTCAGCGTGAGTGGAAACACTCCCCCAAGGTGACAGTGCTTCAGTACGTTGATGATTTCCTACTGTCAGGCTGTGATCAGACGTGCAGTTTGATTAGTTGCCATCGCTGTTCCCTTACAGATTTAAAATGCACGATCAGACAGCAACATCTGTCTGTCGTGCCCCAGTCATCTGTGTCCCACCCACCCTTTTTACTGCGTGTTTCTTTGATACCTGTGAAAGTCTAGTCCTTTTGGGTTGAACTGGTTTCAAACCAGATTTCCTGTTGTCTGATTGCTCTGTTGCGCACCCAAACTGTAAGGCAGGTCTGACTGGTCTCTTGTTTTTCAGCCACCTTTTTTGTACTAGTTAGTGAAATGCGCATAACTGCATATTCACCCCTCTCTCTCTCTCCCCCTCTCCCACAGGGGCTGCTCTAAACTTTGTTTTTTTCATAAAAACTTTCAAAGAAGGACGTCCCTGTGCTTCAGCTTTTTCCTGTGCTTTGAGGAAAGGGTAAATTGAAAAGTTTAGAGAGGGAGATTACATGTCCCAGCAGGGTGATCAGTGCTTGTGCACATGCCCAGAGGTCAAACTTCTAAAAAAATGTCCAACAGCCCCATGAACTACATATCCCAGGAGGCATATCAGCGCTTGTAGGCATGCTCGAGGGAGAAACTATTTTAAAAAATGGCCGACGGCAATGCTCCTTGGCTGCCGGGTCTGATATGCATCTGATTGATCAAGAATGGAGTAAAAGCACTTTGAAGAGTGTTAAAGGGGTGAGTCTGATCAATACTCTCTGTTACAAAATACCCTGGATCAATTAGAGGCGGGGCAACAGCGGATTAAAATGCACGTCGGACCGCAGCCTCAGCCTCCTTGTTAGAAGAAATTCAAGAAGCCACCATCCCGCTATTAAATTTCCTAGGGAAGGCAGGATATAGAACTGTGAAATCAAAGGCTCAGCTTGTGCAGCCGCAGGTTACATACCTGGGACTTACTGTTCCACAAGGAACAAGGCAAAGAATTCCTGGACGAAAAGAAGCTATTTGTCGGTTGGCTCCTCCCAAGACAAAGAAGCTTCGCAGCTTCCTAGGAATGCCAGGATCCTGCAGATTGTGGATCCCAGGGTTTGGGGAGCTCACTAACCCTTTGCATGCAAAATGTCAAGAAACTGAGCCAGAGACGTTGGTATGGGCATGTGAGGAAGAACAACAATTCCAAGAGATGAAGACCTTATTAATGCAGGCTCTGGCTCTGGGTTTTCCTGACTTGAGGAAACCTTCTCAGTTGTGTGTACATCCCCGGCAATTACGATAAAAATCTTCAACAGGGCAGAACATATTGCTGCGATAGCCTATGTTACACATGTAGGTAGCCGGTGGGACTCGATTTTTAATGCCGTTAGAGAATGACTTATGCATCACAATCTTTTCCCTCTGTCTTATTCATTGTCGTGCTAACATGTTTCTGTTGTTGTCTGCAGTATATTCCTAGTCTGTTTAAAATGTTTAGATTTTGATTGAAAGGATGGATTCACTGCCACAGGAGGTGGCGGCGGCTACAAGCATGGATGGCTTCAAGAGGGAATTAGATAAGCATCTGGAGCACAGAGGTTCATGAGTGGCTATTAGCCACAAGGTCTATATAGGAACTCTCAGTCTGGGGCAAGAGATGCTCTGTATTCTTGGTGCTTGGGGTGGGGGGCAACAGTGGGAGGGCTTCTAGTGTCCTGGCCCCACTCCTGAGGGCACCTGGTGTTTTTGGCCACTGTGTGACAGAGAGAGTTGGACTGGATGGGCCATTGGCCTGATCCAGCACTGTCTTCTCTTGTGTTCTTATGTCTGGGGCAAGTGATGCTTCAAGAGGGAACTAGATAAGCATATGGAGCAGAGGTCCATCAGGGGCTATTAGCCACAAGGTCTATATAGGAACTCTCAGTCTGGGGCAAGGGATGCTCTGTATTCTTGGTGCTTGGGGTGGGGGGCAACAGTGGGAGGGCTTCTAGTGTCCTGGCCCCACTCCTGAGGGCACCTGGTGTTTTTGGCCACTGTGTGACACAGAGTTGGACTGGATGGGCCGTTGGACTGATCCAACATGGGCTTCTCTTATGTTCTTATGGCAGACTATTTGGTATGAAAAAGACAGTTTAAATGGCACTGTGAGAGAAAGTGGAAATTCTTTCATTACCAGGGGAGGAATTGTGGAACAAACAGCAGCGAATTGAAAGTTCTGTATGGCAACTGAATCGATGTAATAATTTATACGTGGGAGGGGCATTCTAGAATGTTTTGGAGAGTATATAAGCAACCGGATTGGTTAGCCGCAAAAGGAAACCTGCCCGCCAAAGGACACGGTGGCTAGACACTGTATAAGTCGACACCAGCCTGAACATGGAACAACTCAAAGAAACGGTACAAAATCAGAAAACGTGGAGAGAGCTGGCCCATAGGATTACCAAGAGTCAAACACAACTCAGTGGCTAAGAACAACAACAATTGTGTCAGCGCTCTGAACTGCTGGCGTTTCATGCAAGAGTTCCCTTTATCTGAATAAGGTTCGCTCTTGCTGTGTTTGAGGCTTCGCCTGGTGTGGTTTATTGGACTTGACTCACCCGAGAACACGAACCCGAGATTTGGTTAACACTGACGAAACCCAAAAGGTGGCTGACATCTAGAAAACGCTATTGTTTAAGAGTCAATCATGATAATCTATCAGGAACACAGTTGTAAGGGCAGCTGCAGTTTAACAATAAGTTCTGAAATTAGGGGTGCTGTTCCAGTTCATGCGTGTGCTGTGGTATCCGGAATACCAGAGGTGAAAATCAGAAGGTGGACGCCGGTTTAAACAAACGCTGAGTTTAACATTCCTACCCTGCTGAGAGTTACAGCAGCAGCAGCAGTTAACTAGAACTTCCTTTTCGTTCTTCTAGTAAAGGTAAAGGTTCCCTTGCTCGAAAGCCAGTCGAGTCCGACTCTAGGGTTGCGGTGCTCATCTCCGTTTCAAAGCCGAAGAGCCAGCGCTGTCCGAAGACGTTTCCGTGGTCATGTGGCCGGCATGACTAAACACCAGGGCGCACGGAACGCTGTTCCCTTCCCACCGAAGTGGTACCTATTTATCTACTTGCAGTTTCTTGCTTTCGAACTGCTAGGTTGGCAGGAGCTGGAACTAGAGACGGGAGCTCACTCCGTCACGCGGCACACTCGGGTCTCGAACTGCTGAACTTCCACAGCCTGCAGTTCAGCGTCTTAACCACTTGAGCCACCGCAGCTCCTTTTTTCGTTCTTCTAATGCATAGTAAAGTCTGGATTGGAATAGCATGTGGTTCATCCAGAGCAGGCTAAAATCCTGGCCTGGATCAAGGAATGGAGTAGGTACCACATATGGGTCAGAACATAGGGTTGCCAGTCCTTTGGTTAGAATCCCCAGCAGCCAGGGTGGGGGGTGGGGTGGAGACCTGCTGCCAGCCAGTGTGATGTCGTGGTTAAGAGTGTCGGACTAGTATCTGGGTGGACCCAGGTTTGAATACACTCGTGCCGTGGAAGCTGGTTGGGTGACCTTGGGCCAGTCACACACTTGTAGCCTAACCTACCTCACGGGGTTGTCGTTGAGAGGATAAAATGGAGGAGAGGAGAGGAAAAGGTTGTAAGCTGCCTTGGGTCCCCACTAGGGAGAAAGTTGGAGTACGAATGAAGTAGATAAATAAAGACATGCCACTGCTTTTCACAGCCACCTCCAAAAAACAACGTGCCCTTCAAGGTAAAAGTGAGGTTAGAAATAATACCATGCATCACTGCTTAAATTTCTCTCTCTCATCATCTATCTGTCTGTCTGTCTGTCTGTCCGTCCGTCCGTCCGTCCGTCCGTCCATCCATCCATCTATCTATACCAGCAATTTGAACTGCAAAACAACAAAAGTGATTTTTTTGGTCATTCTTATCATTTTCGTACATGATCAGGAAGGCCATTTTTCTCCCCCTATTCTCTTTCCTCTTGACAAGAATCCCTAAAATTAAGCCTAGTTAAAAATCGACTGTGATGTCTGGACTATGCTTATTTTTGTGATCTAGCCCGATTCTGTTCCATAAATGTGTTGCCATTATCTTGAGTAGTGTGTGGGTTGTGCTCACCGACTTAAATGGACTTAGAAAGCTCCAATCCTGTTTAGGACGGGACTTTTTACTGTCTGTTCTCCACTGAGTGTGTATTTGTGTGCGCAAAGTACCATCAAATCGCAGCCAACGTACAGCGGCCCTTCATGGGGTTTTCAAGGCAAGAAACACTGAGAGGTGGTCGGCCACCGCATGCCTCTGTGGAGCAACATGGACTTCCTTGGTGGTCTCCCATCCAAATACTAACCAGGGCTGACCCTGCTTAGCTTCTGAGATCAGGCTAGCCTGGGAGATCCAGGTCAATCCCAGTTCCCAGTAAAGGTTTAAAGGTAAAAGTCTCCCTTGCTCGAAAACCCGTCGAATCCGACTCTAGGGGTGCGGTGCTCATCTCCGTTTCCAAGCCAAAGAGCCAGCGCTGTCCGGAGATGTTTCCGAGGCGGTGAGGCCGGCATGACTGGACGCCAAGGCTCACGGAACACTGTTCCCTTCCCACCGAAGTGGTCCCTATTTATCTACTTGCAGTCTCTTGCCTTCGAACTGCTAGGTTGGCAGGAGCTGGGGCCAGAGACGGGAGCTCGCTCCGTCATGCGGCATTGACAGTATCTCCCAAGCATGCCTAGATTAGCGATTTGTTTCGGAGCCGGTGGTTCGTTCTTTGTTCACATGGACTGCTCTCCAGAATGTATCCCTACTCCTGCTGTGGATCGACATTAACTGTTTGTAATGTATTCATAAGCTGCCGTTGAATGCGTTACGGGTTGTGAAACATCTGATTAAAAAGCTATGTTAAGCTTCATCCTGGGCTAGGATCCAAATCCATCCAATCGTATTCCTAGCCCAGGAAGCACCTAGCCAATCACTTTACAGCAAGCTCCCTGAGCGGGAACGTCTGTGATTGGTCCTTATCTGAACAACCGTATTGGTTGGTATTTGTACAGTGGGTGTGGCTACATTAGCCGGGAGAGTTTAAAAGTAGGGGAACTGCAATGCAAAACCTGAACCGCAGAACCGTTCTGTTCTGGCCATCAGATGTTGATCCGTGTTGGAGTTGTGTTCGAGTTGAAGAATAAAGTTGTGTTCTTGCTGAATCACTCTCCAACTTCTTTGTTAAGCGAGCGACTTAACACTGTTATGGAAATCTATTCTTAGTTTGTCGTCAAGCTCACCACCGCCAAGCAGCAGGACCACTTCTTCCAAGCCTCCCACCTCGAGGAGCGGGACGTCTGGGTCAAAGACATCAAGAAAGCCATCCAGTGCATCGAGAGAGGCAAGAGGTTCTCCAGGAAATCGACTCGGAAATCTATCAAACTGCCTTCGTCGATCAACCTGGGGTATGTTGAGGGAAAGGTCTCTGGGGTTCGTTCCAGCAGAAGTCCACGGTTGGGCTGCACATAAACATGTTCTAGCATCCTAAAATAAGGAACCCAGACATACAAACAATGAGAGGAAGCTGCCTTCCTTTTGTTCCTTTACAAAATAACTGCCTGCAATGCACAAATGGACATAGGACTGCGGCTGATTTGACTTTTTATTTTATAAAGCAACTGTGAGGCAAAGATTTTAAATGGAGAAGTGGTTCTGTGTCTGCTCTAAGTCTTTCTCTGGCCAAAGCACCTCCCCCCAAACACCGAGTCTTCAAAATGCAAGTTGACGCTGGGGAGGGGGGTTTGCCGACCTCCAGGTGGGGCCTGGAGAGCTCCCAGAACTACAACTGACCTCCAGATAGTGTGGCAAATCTCCGTGGGTGGCTAGAGACCTCCCACTGTTACAACTGAGGTGCTACTGGACCCGATTCTAGGTGTCCTACAGCAGACCAAGATGGCTGCCCTTAGTAACCATCTCTGTTTTATTCCATGGGGCTTACTCCCGGAAAAGTATTGTACCGTAGGCTGCCTCCTAAGCGCTCGCCAGCCCAGGAATCTGACCCAGTAGGTCCAGATGTTTACAGTAAGCCAGGGCTCCACAGCATGGTGGCACTCACCAAGTGTTTTTAGAAAGGGGGTGGGTCCTAGGGTTGCCATTCCCCGGTTGGGGGCGGGGGATCCCTCAGTTTTGCAGGCTCCCACCTGCCTCTGGCCAGCTGTCCGGCAGGAGGAACCCCCCCTCCAACAGCAACGTCGCCAGAAATAAACATGACGTGCCTACATCACCCGGAAGTGACGTGGACATGTCGGTGACATCGAGGGGGTGACGCTATGGTTTGGGGGCAGAACTCTATGGTTTGAGGCTGATTTTACCATAGAGTTTTGCCCCAAAACCAGAGCGTCGCCCCTGACATCACCGATACCCGGGTGACGTAGGCACAGCGCACAATGTAACTTCTGGTGACATAGGCACTGTGCATGATGACACTTCTCGCTCCTGGAATGTCCCCCCCCCCCCCCTCACTGGCATTTCTGACAGACTTGGCAACCCTAGTGGGTCCAGGTGGGTCTTTTGCCCAGCAAGGCTTTTGATTGGCCAGCGAAGATCTGATTAGCTGTGCAGCTTTTTAAAAAAAAAACACATAAGAACATAAGAACATAAGAGACGCCAATGTTGGATCAGGCCAAAGGCCCATCCAGTCCAACACTCTGTGTCACACAGTGGCCAGAAATACCAGTGCCATCAGGAGGTCCAGCAGTGGGGCCAGGACACTAGAAGCCCTCCCACTGTTGACCCCCCCAAGCACCAAGAAGACAGAGCATCACTTGCCCCAGAGCCCCTATCTATACCTTATGGCTAATAGCCACTGATGGACCTCTGCTCCATATGCTTATCTAATTCCCTTTTGAAGCCGTCCATGCTTGTAGCACCCACCACTTCCTGTGGCAGCGAATCCCATGTGTTAATCACTCTTTGGGTGAAGAAGTACTTCCTTTTATCCGTTCTAACCCGACCGCTCTGCAGTTTCATGGAGTGCCCACGAGTTCTTGTATTGTGAGAAAGGGAGAAAAGTACCTCTTTCTTTACCTGCTCTTTCCCATGCATAATCTTATAAACCTCGATCATGTCACCCCTCAGTCGTCTTTTCTCCAAGCTAAAGAGCCCTAAGCGCTTTAACCTTTCCTCATAGGGAAAGTGTTCCAACCCTTTTATAATTCGAGTTGCCCTTTTCTGCACTTTGCTTTGGCACCAGCTGCCTTCCCACCAGAGCACAAGGATCTCCACTGTGTGACTGAAGGTAAACTGCGGCAGCCATTTTGTTCGGCTCTGCCTCCTGCAGCAGCCATTTTGTGGCTGTGCTCACCGCACTGTGTTGAAGCTCCAAAGGTGTCCGCAGGCCCAAAAATGGTTGGGGACCCCTGCAGTAAACTATTTGCCGATGTAAAACCAAAATGTCTGGTGCTCTGATCAAAGGGCCACTAAGTGCTCAAAATGCCAGGCATTGAGAAGGGAATCAGACTCTGAGGGTTGCTAGCTGTATTCTGAGGCTGAGAAGACTTAATAATGACTACGATATGACATAATGTGCTTCTGTAACTATCACTCGCTTCTTTACCCGCACAGGACTTTGTATCTCTCAATGAAAGACCCGGACAAAGGAATAAGGGAAATGAAGCTGGAAAAAGACAAGAAAATCTACAATCACTGCTTTACAGGTACAGAGCCCTTATTCGTCTCCTTTGAAAAAAGCCCCTAAAGGCCACTACTGGCTGTCCAGCTATGCATTGTTGGGGTGCCAATCCACACATTACGGATCCCTGCATGTGTGCCATAATCCTAACCTGAATTTGGCACTGTGTGATGGGAACTGAGATTAGGGGTGTGCGTTCGGCTATATTTGAGCTAAAAAAGTAGCTGAGAAATACCTTAGCGATATTTTTTGGCTACTCTTTCAGCCAAATATTTTTCGGCTATTCAAAATAGCTGAGCCACAAAAATCTCCAAAATATTCGAGATTTTTGGGACTGCCAGATAGCCAGAGTTAAAGGGTGTCCCTCTAAATACCTTCTGGGTGAACTTGCGGCTTGGAGAAGGCATTTAAAGGGACCATGAGCCCTTTAAATTTCTTCAGAGCGACCTTGCGGCTTGCAGAAGGCATTTAAAGGGACTGCAATGTTTTTAAACTCCTTTCCCCCCTTCCTTTGAAAACAATGGAGGATGGGGACACTTTCTTTGGGGGCCCATAGAATTGGACCCCCAGTCCAATCTTTTTGAAACCTGTGTGGTGTTTTTTTTAGGAGAGGCACCAGCAACTATGCTGCAAATTTGGTGCCTCTACCTCAAAAAACAGCCCCCCCCAAGAATAAACACATTCATGGCTGAGCAGAGACTTGATATTTGCCCCCCCTCCGTTAGCTCTAAAACGTTTCATAAAGAGAAAATCTCAACTAGCCTGATACGCACCCAACTTTTCATCAAATAGGCTTTCCATTTACCCACCCGGGGTGGGGGATCACCAAGCCCACGGCCTCAATTTCCCGCTCTAAGGAACTGAGGAGTTGGAGAAGATAACCTCCATATAGTGACGCTCTAGGAATTTCCCCTAATTTCTTTAGTAGTCATTGGGTGCCTTCAGACAGGGCATTTACAATGGTATAGGTGCTGGTTGGAATTGGTGTACTTACCAGTGTTCACATGTAGAACATCTGCCTTCCGTCCCTAACCGTTGCAAACAGCCTTTAACCGTTGTATTCTGCTACTAGGTCCCCAAGTGGTAATATCCTGAGTGCACCGGTTGTAACCGCTTTACCCCCTGTCTGATCGTTCTCCACCGTTGTAGAGCCACTTCAGTTTGGAAGCCCGAGGCTTCTGCTTTTCGCCCACCATTTTTTTTGTTAGGACGGCAGTATGCGCTTGGGCGAAGCTTCGCCCTGGCGTTTGTTTAAAAAAGAAAAGAAAAAGGTCCTTAGTTTAAGGTTTTAGAGGAGTCCGGGACCTCAGGGAGGCCAGTTTGGTCTTTAAACTTTAAAGGTAAGTCCTCTCTTCAGGGGTTTTTGGGATGGGGTGTTTTGCGCATGCGTGAAGATTGCCATTCTGTGGATGGCTGCCTATGCGCATGCGCAAACTGAGTTTTTTTAAAAAAAACGCCGACTCCCGCTGTGTGTGAACGGGCATACAGTGATGGGCTCCGCAGACAGGAGGTAAGTGTGGTCGCGTTTCAGCTGTCTGAAATGCCCCGTCTGAACTAGAACTAGATTGAGAAGGCATTTGCTCACCCGCAAGCTCTCTGGTGTCCTTTAGAAGAAGTGGTTTTACCTCAGAGGTAATAAAAATCCGTTTTAACAATCATATTACAGTTTCCCAAATAATCGCTTTTGTCTAGCAGAGACCGTGGAACAGACCTCGAAAAGAATGTCAACAAAAACTTCTGAGTATAAAACATCGTAGAAACCATTTTGATCTTCTTTACATCAATCTTGACAGCCGGTACCCCCATTAGAAAGGATGTGGCGCTTGACCTGCCATTTAGAAGACCAAAGAAATGTTTTCCCTCTATACGGAGAGATTTCAGGGAAAACAGTAAAAGGGTGATATTTAACAGAATCTAGGTCATCACTCAGATAATCCCTATTATTGGAGGGCTCCTCCTCACGTGAACAGATTTTATTTGTATTTGTATTTAGATTTAGCACACTTGGTATTACAGGTGCAGGAACTGCAATTTTTTTTGTAATAGAATCCAAACTGCTGAAAATCTTCTCCAGGGCGTCAACAATCAGAAGGGTCTGTGAAGCTAAAATCTGGAGTAAATCTGAGGATAATCTCTTTAGTAGAAACCTGAGAGACTAGGGGAAGCAGCCTAGAGCGGCACCCGGAAGTGACATCACATACGCCCCCAAACCCCGCCCTCCCCTGGCACCGTGCCCCAAATCACATGGCATTTGCCAAGGCAGCACTGGGAACCCTATCATCAAGGCCTTTAGGTCTCTGAACCATAGTCCCAAACTGAATAGAAGGTCTCTTATGATATTTTTCACTGCTCAGTCAAGGGGAGACTTCCTGTCTTCCTTGCTGTTGCAGACCACAGCGTTTGTTTCCGTGTTTCACACCTGGTCCCCCGTCTTTGCTTCCTTTCCTGCTCCACGGTTTCCTGCGTCATCGACTGGCTACTGTCGAACAACTCTATCCGAAACCGCCCAGAGGGTCTCGTGCTGGCGTCTGCCCTGTTGAACGAAGGATATTTTCAGCCTGCCGGGGATGCTTCCAAGAGTGCGGCAGAAGGCTTGGCGGAATCGTCTTTCCTCGATCACGAAGACGCCTTCTATTACTTTGTACGTGGACGCTTGCGGGCTTTTTTTGATAGGACCACCAGAGCATTTCCTAGAGCGTGGCTCCTCAGCCTCGTTCGCCCTGTGAGCGCTCTTGAGATTTTGACAAGGGATAGTGGGGTCCCACCGCAAAATGGCTGCCAGGTAGGGTTACCAGGTTCCCCCCCCCCAGCCACTGGCAGGGGATGGTGGGGGTAGGGTTTCCAGACCCAGATGGGGAAATTCCTGTACTTCTGGGAGACCCCCCCCCAGGTCCCACCTGGAGGTTGGCACCTCTGACTTCACCGCAAAACAGAAGTTTCGATCCGAATATCCCCCTATATTAGGACAGGCATTTATTTTTTATTCCTTTGAAATAAATTTTTATTTTCAACATGTAACAGTGAAGAACATAACTATAACACGATAAAAAGAGCAACGCTGGCTTTGATACATCAATACAGCCGACTGACACCCTTGAAATAACAGGGGAGGCATTATTATGCACATGAACATGTCATAAACCTAACAGCTTACATCAGCTCATAAACAGGTTAGTCGCATTAGTAAAAAAAAGAGGCACTTTAAGGCCGAGTTCAGTTCAGACTGTCTCACAGAGTGGCCAACCAGTTCCTCTGGAGAGCCAACAACAGGGCAGAGTGGACGAGGCCTTCATAAGAATATCAGAATAGCCCTGCTGGATCAGACCAGTGAGGGTCCATCTAGTCCAGCATCCTGTCTCACAGAGTGGCCAACCAGTTCCTCTGAAAGACCAACAACAGGGCAGAGAGGACGAGGCCTTCACGAGGACATCAGAAGAGCCCTGCTGGATCAGACCAGGGGTCCATCTAGTCCAGCATCCTGTCTCACGCAGTGGCCAACCAGTTCCTCTGGAGGGCCAACAACAGGGCACAGAGGCTGAGGCCCTCATAAGACCATAAGAAGAGCAGTTTGGCAGTTTGGCCCGGCAGCCAAACGTTTCAGGAGCGTTTCAGTAGTGGATTAAAGGGGTGGGTTCACACGGGCACATCTGTCAGGCCTCCCCCAGCTGTACTCAAGCCGTCTTGTGCCGCTTCCATCCCGAGTTTAAAAAGTGCCAGGTGAAAGTGGTAGCAAACCGTGTGTAGAGCGGGGCGATTCCGGTTCCCTGCATGTGAACGCAAGCGCTGCTAAGGTGGGAACAACCCGCAGTCGTTGATAATAGGCGCTGGCTCTTTCCACGGCAGGCGGCCATGCGCATAGGCGCATGCAGCGGAACGCAGTAACAGCTGCAAACAGCCCGCCAGGGGTGGGCTGGCAGTGCGAACGCTCCCTTGCGCTTCCTCCACGGTTTCCTCCCGCTTCATTCGCTGCAGTGTGAAGGGGAATACCGCCACCAAGCCGTTCCGGGTCTTCTTTGCCACGACTCCCAAGCTCTTCAAATTGCCAGTCTGAACCCGGCCTAAACTTAAGAGGAACTGTTCTATCCTCTATAGGAAAGAAATACACAGACAGGCATTTATTTCTGAAAGGATGCTCCCGTCAGACCCAAAGGGGCCTTCTGAAGGACCCCCTGCTCCAACGAGGTAGAGGAAAGCCAGGATTGGGGAAGAGGTAGATTGCAGGCAGGGAATACAGCACCGCCCACTTTCCCCTGTTCTTCTAGAGTGAATCAAGCTATATTTGAATGTTTCATTTATTTACTATTAATCTGTTTGCAAAATGTCTGTCCCGCCCGAAAAGTACGGAGACTGACGCAGTGACTTCAGCTCATACTTTTATTGTAAGCGAAGAACAAGACAAACTCTACCGGCTCGCAGGCCGGCTTCTATTCCCGGTAAGCCCCACCCCCAAAACACACCCCACACCACTGATAGGTTATTTACATTGGTCGGGCGTTCCATAGGTCCTCGCTAAGATCCTAGCCCTCAGAGAGGTGCGGCTAGGATCCGCTCAGGCCATTGTTCTCTGGGGCGAAGCTCGGACCGCGTGGAGGCCCGGCCTTGTACGCGGTCGAACTTCCATACATAACACCACCTCTCTGCCCTTTCTAGGCTAAACAGTGTAAAATGTACGGATTTGACTACTGCTTTGGCTTTTTGAGGGTTTTTTGTTGTTTTTGCATTTTTCATATGTGAATATAATTGTGTGTGTACCTAGAAGTCAAGGCGACTTCTGGTGACTGACCCCTACTGGGGGTCTGGAGGTTATTCAGAGAGGTGGCTGAATAACGCCTGCCCCCGCCTCCCACCTCTGGTATTCCAAGGAGGTCTCCCAACCAAGGACTTGCCAGAGTTGACCCTGCTTAGCTTCCGAGATCGGGCTTGCCTGGGCTATCCAGGTCAGGCCGGCGGCTGCTTTGTTAAACACAGTCTGAAAGATGAGCTTCAGCTTTTGGGATTCCTCGCTGTGGCCTGTAGCCATTTTATCAAATGGTCCTTCCGGAGGAGCATGACTTGGCGCTTCTGCAGCGCGAGCCTCCATCCGGTGCCGTGGCTTCAGGAAAGCGAGCGGCGATGAGTCAATAGCCGTGGAGCAAGCCTCAGTGAGCAGCTGCTTCTCGGGAAAGGGTTTTGGGTTACTCGCTGGAGGTATTCTGGTCACACTTTGCTCTTTTAAGGGTTTTTCTTTTTTTAATATCCTCGATGGTTAACCACATACATGAGGCAAGCCCTTTCCATAGCCTTTCTGAAAGCATGAGCTGAGGCAATGCTTCTTGGAGTTGTTTGGTCTGCATGCCTAATTCTAGCTAATGCATGCAAAAGAACGGAGGCTCTCTCCGTCTCTCCCTCCCTCCCCCTCTCCCTCCCTCCCTCCTCCTCTTTCTTCCTCCTTCCCTCCCTCTCCCTCCTTCCCTCCTCCCTCCTTCTTTCCCTCCCTGCTGGATCAGATCTGTGATCCGCCTAGTCCAGCATCCTGTCTCACACAGGGGCCACCCAGTTCCTCTGGAGGGCCAACAATAGGGCAGAGAGGCCATGGCCTTCCCCTGATGTTGCCTCCTGGCTCTGGGATTTAGAGGTGTATAAGAACATAAGAAGAGCCCTGCTGGATCAGACCAAGTGGTCCATCTAGTCCAGCCTCCTGTCTCACACAGTGGCCAACCTGTTCCTCTGGAGGGCCAACAATAGGGCAGAGAGGCCATGGCCTTCCCCTGATGTTGCCTCCTGGCTCTGGGATTTAGAGGTGTATAAGAACATAAGAAGAGCCCTGCTGGATCAGACCAAGTGGTCCATCTAGTCCAGCCTCCTGTCTCACACAGTGGCCAACCTGTTCCTCTGGAGGGCCAACAATAGGGCAGAGAGGCCATGGCCTTCCCCTGATGTTGCCTCCTGGCTCTGGGATTTAGAGGTGTATAAGAACATAAGAAGAGCCCTGCTGGATCAGACCAAGTGGTCCATCTAGTCCAGCCTCCTGTCTCACACAGTGGCCAACCTGTTCCTCTGGAGGGCCAACAATAGGGCAGAGAGGCCATGGCCTTCCCCTGATGTTGCCTCCTGGCTCTGGGATTTAGAGGTGTATAAGAACATAAGAAGAGCCCTGCTGGATCAGACCAAGTGGTCCATCTAGTCCAGCATCCTGTCTCATACAGTAGCTGACCAGTTCCTTGGGAGGTCCAACAAACAGGGCACAGAGGCCGCGGCCTACACTAATGTGGCCTCCTGGCTCTGAGATTCAGAGGTTGACTGCCTCTGAATGTGGAGGTTCCCTTTAGTCCCCGTGGCTAGGAGACACTGATAAAGGTATCCCCCACTTAGCAGTACAATTCCTTCCCTCTGTTGAAACAGGCCGACAGTGGGTTCTTCTGTGAAGGAAACTCAAGCGATGACGACGCAGTCCTCTGTGAAGAGTTCAGAGGCACAGTGATCAAGCAGGGATGTCTACTGAAGCAGGTCAGTGTCTGCCTCGTTGGCTCAGCATAGAAATGAGATCATACAAAAGGTAACACCGATCTAAAATTTTCTGAGTAGGGTCGTGGCTCAGTGGAGAAGTGTTTGTTTTGTATGCAGAAGGTAAAGGCACTAAAACATTGACATATATTTAGAAGCTTAGCAGATCCTCTGAATTCCTTCCTTCCTTCCTTCCTTCCTTCCTTCCTTCCTTCCTTCCTTCCTTGTTAAATCGCTAGCCCTTTCCCTTACAGATATTCAGAGAAACGCCTAAGCCCAGGGGTCACTTTGAAGAAAAAGAGGTGCAGGAGCTCATTAGCATAACTCATTAGCATAACTTATTTGCATATGCCACACCCCCTGACCTCACCGGAAGTGTTTCAGAAGGCAACACCCACCGTTCAGGCTCAACTGGACTGTTTTGGATTGCTAGCTATTGGGGAGGGGAACGTGCAGATCTGTCCTCGCAGAGGAGGGAGAGCTTGTACCTGAACAAAACTTGGTCTTAAAGGTGCCACTGGACTGTTTTGGACCAGGGGGCCGGGGGAGGGGCTCTGCAGCTTACCTGGCTGTTTCTTGCTCTGACTGAGGGCTGCTGGGAGCAGAGGGTGGGGCTTGTTGCATGTGCCCGCCCCCTGGGCTCTTTACTGCCGGAGCTCCGCTCCTGTGCGCTCCTACAGGAAATGACCCCTGGCTAAGCTAAGCCTATTGTTACCCTCTAGCGATATATCAATATTTGTAGTAAAAAAGAGAACAAAACCAAACCACTTGTCTTCGGGGGGGGGGGGGGGGGGGTCTGGAGGCCAGGGGGGGAGGGACTCCAGAGTCCAATGATGGTTGACTACCACAGGACTATCCCCATCCAATGACGGGAAAGTGGGCTGGAGGTGGGTGTGATTGGGCAGGACAAAGAAAAGCAACAGAAAACAATTATACACAAGGGAAAAACTGACTCAGAATCAGCTTCTGGGAAACAACCAGGGTAAACCTGGTTTCAAAAGGGTCAGAAAGAAAAGGGAGGTAGGGGGACACACATGAAAAACAGACAGAGTGAAAACTGAAGGCACAAAAATGCATGTGGAAGTCGGGACAAATGGAAGCCGTGTGGGGCGAGAACCGATGTTAAAAAAAAAAAAAGCATGCAAGAAAGGTCCAGCAGAACAGGCTCGAACGAGTTGCCTCCAATGCCCCCTCTAATCCGTGGAGTCTTGTGAGCAAAAATCCTACTTTGTGAGCTCCTGGAGTTAAAGTTGTGAGCGATTGTGATTTGGCGGCTGCACAAATTAGCTTCTTCCGTAGCCATCCTTCCCAAGCTGAGACAAAAATGTGAGCGCTGGGGGCTAAAAACGGTGAGCTAGCTCACACTGACTCAGCTTAGAGGGAACACTGGTTGTGGATAAGAAAGGCGCCTTAAAGATGGCTTTATTTAGTGGGTCAGACACTTTCATGCGTCAGAGCCTGCCTCAAGCTTGCTGAGGAGGCTCCCACTCAGTGGTAGTTTTGCATTTGTTTCCGTAAAGTGGAAAGCCAAAACAATCAATTTCTTCCATTTTATTTAGGGGCATCGGCGGAAGAACTGGAAAGTGCGGAAGTTTGTGCTGAGGGAGGACCCTGCTTACATCCACTACTATGACCCTGCTGGGGTGAGGGAGCCCATCTGTGGGTGGTTTTGCCGTAGAATTACCTGGAAAAACCCTTTAGGAATGCAGCTATCTTCAGAAGGGATAAGAACATAAGAACATAAGAGACGCCAATGTTGGATCAGGCCAGAGGCCCATCCAGTCCAACACTCTGTGTCTCACAGTGGCCAGAAATACCAGGTGCCATCAGAAGGTCCACCAGTGGGGCCAGGACACTAGAAGCCCTCCCACTGATCTTGAAAGGCACCTGTGATAGGACTAGCCACACTAAGTTGGCATCTCTTCTCTGGATAAGCAGTAACTTCAAGACTGTGTTTTCAAGTACATTTCATTGTCATTAACGCAACCTCTGATTCAACAGCAAGGGCTAGTTTTGTTTCTCACTGGTGGTATTAAAAGTAGTATAGAAACATAAGAGAAGCCATGTTGGATCAAGCCAATGGCCTATCCAGTCCAGCAATCTGTGTCACACAGTGGCCAAAACCCAGGGGCCATCAGGAAATCCACCAGTGGGGCCAGAACTCCAGACACTCTCCCACTGTTGCCCCTCCAAGCACCAAGAATACAGAGCATCACTTGCCCCAGAAATAAGAACATAAGAGTAGCCATGTTGGATCGGCCAATGACCCGTCCAGTCCAACACTCTGTGTCTCATGGTATCCAAAACCCAAATGCCATCAGGAGGTCCACCAGTGGGGCCAGAATTCCAGAAGCCCTCACACTGTTGCCCCCTGAGCACCAAGAATACAGAGCACCACTGCCCCAGACATAAGAACATAAGAGAAGCCATGTTGGATTGGCCACCAGTGGGGTCCACCAGAGGGGCCAGAACTCCAGAAGCCCTCCCACTGTTGACCCCCCCAAGCACCAAGAAGACAGAGCATCCCGTGCCCCAGACCGAGAGCTCCCATCTATACCTTGTGCCTAATAGCCACTGATGGACCTCTGCTCCATCTGTTCATCCGATCCCTCATTGGGTCATAAGAAAAGCCATGTTGGATCTGACCAGTGGCCCATCCAACACTCTCTGTCACCCGGTGGTCAAAACCCAGGCGCCATCAGGGAGGCTGCGCTGTTCTTGAGTCTTCCATCTGTCCTGACAGTCTTCCAGGGTCTGTTATGGGATGACACATTTCTAATAATTGTGCGTCACAGAAAATGTCTCCACTCACTTTGTCACAGTATGGCTCGAGTCCTGTAGGACCCTGGAGGCCAAGAAGATTTTGGAGGTATCAGCTCTTGAGTGTCAAACCTGATCTGATGAAGGGAGCTTTGACTCGTGAAAGCTTAGACCCCCCCCAAAAAAAATCTTCTTGGTCTCTAATGTTCCTACTGGACTCCAATCGAGCTGTTCTACTGCAGAGGCTCAGACCAACACAGCTACCTCTGAAACGATCTTCATGGCAGTATAAACCTCCATCAGGTCGCGTCTTCCTTCATGGCCTTCCTGCCCAGTCGTGGAACTCCAAGCTCCTACCAGCTTATCCTCGTGAGCTTCCCCTCAGACCGCATCGGCACCCACACACATCACTGTTATTCAGGGCTCTTTTTGTACAAAAAGCCCAGCAGGAACTCATTAGCAATGTTCCCTCTAAGCTGTGGAGTCTTGTGAGCAAAAATTCTACTTTGTGAGCTACTGGCATTAAAGTTGTGAGCGAGCAATTTGGCTACTGCATCAGTTAGTTTGCTCTGGAGCCATTCTTCCTGAGCAAAGACAAAAATGTGTGAGCTGGAGGCTAAAAAACTGTGAGCTGGCTCACACTAACTCACCTTAGAGGGAACGCTGCACTCCTGTGTTACCAGAAGTGTGGTCATCCAGCCACACCCACCTTTCCCTTCTTATTCTGTTTACCTTGTTTGTTGTCCAAACCTAGGGCCTTTTTTGTAGCAGGGACTCCTTTGCATGTTAGGCCACACACCCCTAATGTAGCCAATCCTAATGAGTTCCTGCTGTTGGGTGTGGCCTATTATGCTAATGAGTTCCTGCTGGGCGTGGCCAACTCGGGAGCCAGCCGGAACTCCGCTCCTGTGCGTTCCTGCCCCAAAATAGCCCTGCTGTTATTGCTTCCAGCTAGCTGAAGTGGCTGCAGAGATCAGTTGCCGACCAAGGAAACCACTCTTGTGTTTCGAATCCCTTTCAGGGAGAAGAGCCTCTGGGAGCCATTCACTTGAGGGGCTGTGTGGTGACCGCAGTTGAAGACAACCCCAATGGTAAGCAAGAAGCAGGCTGGTTGTTATGCCCCCAGTGTAGGGTTGCCAAGTCCTCCTACCTGGCTGCCGGCAGGGGGACTCCTGATCCTTCCTGTAGTTCTTCTGGTGCATGCGCTCTGCATGCACGCCACAATGACATCACCTGGAAGTGATGTCATTGTGTTTCTGCCATTAGGGGTGATGCTCTAGGTGTTGGGCAAAAGTCTATGGTTTTTTGGGCCTCAAAACCATAGAGTTTTGCCCAAAACCTAGAGCGTCACCCCAAACTTCAGAAATGTGATGTCACTCCCAGATGATGTCATTGCGCCAGCCTCGGGGGCGCCAGGAGGGAGCTTCTCAGGGGTGGGCCTTCCCCTGCCAGCCAGCTGGACCACGGCAGATTGGGGGCCCCAAAATCGGGGAATCCCCTGACCCCACTGGGGGAATGGCAACCCTGTCCCAATGCCTGTTGCCTCATTTGGAAATAGTCATTCAATACCATTAATTCCTTCATCCCTAACTGGATGCAAGCCAAATACTCACACAGTTGATGCCAGAACTGGGGCTTCCGATGCCATTTCAACCAAGCCAGCATACAAGTTAGCATCTTTCACTCTCCAGACTGCAGAGATCAGTTCCCTTGGAGACTCTATGGCCAGGGTCTCCAACATGGGACCTTGGATTGGGTCTTTTTTCCCAGCTCTTACAGATGATAATTACCTTTACCAGTTACTGGTGTTGTATGCGGCTCTCTTTCCTTAATTATACTTTAACTAGTAGCAAAGCCCGTTGTAAAAGGAATACAACGAGCACTAGCAAGATGTCGATCTGACCCTCCTTTTTGGCCGCCTTGCCTTCTATGGTGCCAGTCATCGTCCACTCGCAGCCTGCCCTGCCACCTGCAGTCGGCTGTGGGTAATGATGACCGGTGAGGCAGCGGCATGGTCGGCCTCGGTCTCCTTACTGTGCGGCTGCCAGATGGTTGGACCTGTCTGTCGCCTCACAGCACACTGACGGCAAGAGGTTGGCTGCTGCTCCCATGGGCTCAGAGCCTGGCCAGCTCCTTGCACCCTGGTGTGGCTGATGATGACCAGTGTGACGCCGCCATGTTTGACCTCGGCCTCCTAATAACAAAGGGGATGGACACTGGTGGAGTGTCCATCCCCTTTGCCGACTCTCCAGACTGAGGCCAAGACGTTGGCTGCCGGCTCTGTGGGCAGGACTGAGGCAATGCAGCGAGGCAATGCAGCCAGGGGATTGGCAGACCTTCTGAGTGACAGATCAGGCAGCCAACTGATTTGGGAGCGCATGGAACATTGCCACCCGAAAAAAGAATTATATATAAGGAGAGATGTGACTTGATTACTTTGACCCTGCTGTTGTTTATAATGACTTTCTTCATCCTCTTCATATATATGCCCCAGTGAAAATTCATTCCGTTCCCCTGAAGTGGGGCTCAGTTCTACAAAGGCTTATGCTGTAATAAAATCTTGTCAGGATCCAATGGGTTACTCCGAAATAATATTGACCACAGTGTTGCCATTGCCAGCTTCCAGATGGGGCTTGGAGATCTCCCAGAATTCCATCTGTTCACCGAGATAGTTCCCCTCAAGAAAATGGCTGCAGCTACAGAGAGTGGATTCTGTGGCATTATACTCACCCTGTCCTGGCTCCACCCTCAACATTTCCAGGAATTTCCCAACCTAGAGCTGGCAACCCTAATTTACTGTGATACCATCAGTGACTCTTCTGATGTTCAGGTGAAGGAGAGGCTTTTATGTAATGTACATTTCTTTTCTTTTTTCTAAATGAAACCCTGACCTGGATGGCCCAGGCAAGCCTGATCGCATCAGATCTTGGAAGCTAAGCAGGGTCGGCCCTGGCTAGTATTTGGAAGGGCGACCTCCAAGGAATACCAGGGTCATGACCAATGCTCCCTCTAAGCTGTGTAGTCTTGTGAGCAAAGATTCTACTTTGCGAGGGACTGGCATTCAAGTTGTGAGCGAGCGACTTGGCTACTGCATAAATTAGTTTGCTCTGGAGCCATCCCTTCCCGAGCGAAGACAAAAACGTGTGAGCCGGAGGCTAACAAACTGTGAGCTGGCTCACACTAACTCAGCTTAGTGGGAACACTGGTCGTGACGCAGAGGCAGGCAATGGCCAACCACCTCTGAAATGTATTTTGCCTTAAAAACAAGTCTAGCTCACCACCTAGTGGTGCACAACGCTAAAAGGAGCTAGAACTTCTGGCTGCCAGACAATCTTAGGATCTCCTGGCTATTCTACACACAATGCCATGCAATACTTAATTAATTAATTAATTTTCTAAATGGAAGTGGGTTTGGAACCGTGTCAAAATCAGAAGTCTCTCTCTTTGTAAAGAAAAATGAAGTGGAAGGAAACCTGTTCGAAATCATCACCGCCAACGAAGTCCACTATCTGCTGCAAGCAGCCGCTTCTGCCGAGCGTACGGAATGGATCAAGGCCATTCAGTTGGTTTCCAGGACTGGGAAGTAAAATAAAAGAAAGGAAAAAGCCACCCACTGAAGCAAAGGAAACATCTTGTGTCCAAAGAGATTTTTGTGTGTTCTCTGCAAACTTGGTCCCAGGGTGGTTCCAGGTTCACTCCCCCCCCCTTCCAATAGTCTGGCCTAAAATCCGCATAATATTTAATGTACAATATTTAATATGTCATTGCTTCTCTGTTACTACCACATCAACCCCACCCCCCATTTTCTTCAAAAAACTAAACAAACCAAAGGGCACATTCACAGCCCCCCCCCCCCCCCGCACACGCACACCCCTCCCCAAATCTGGCCTCTGATGAACACTGGATTTTGCTGTGTGAAAGATGAAATCTACTTGCAGATGGTTGCTAAAGTGCATTATTAAGCCTACGGGAAAGTGCCCCAAATGTTTTCTAAATCTTTTTCATTTGAATAAGGAATAAGCCTTAAATGTGACTTATTTTCTGCACATGACAGTGAAAAAGAAAAACCAAAAAATCGCTCCCTGTATGCAGTGCTCCCTCTAAGCTGAGTTAGTGTGAGCTAGCTCACAGGGGTTTTTTTTGCCTCTGGCTCAGGAAGGAGGATTCCAGAGCAAACTAATTTAGGCAGTCGCCAAATCGCTCACTCACAACTTTAATGCCAAGGAGTTCACAAAGTTAGAATTTTTGCTCAGAAAACTCCACAGCTTAGAGGGAGCTTTGCCTGTATGTATGTAGAAACCCTGTGGAAGTTAACGAACTCCTGTCTGTACTAACAGCTATGGTCAAAGATCAGAAGCCGGGGTCTTGTTGTCATGGAAATATACATTTGGGAGAGAAAAAAACAAAGCCGATTTGCTTATTCTTCCTGACTCCTGTTTGTTTATGTATCTTTTGGGATGAGCAAATGGGAAAGAGAATGGTGATTAGGTTTTTAAAGTATTCGGGCTTTTCCTAGCCAACTCAGGGTTGCCAGAACTGGGTTGGGAAATACCTGGAGATTTTGGGGGCGGAGCCTGGGGAGGGCGGGGTTTGGGGAGGGGAGGGGCCTCAGCAGGGTACCGTGCCATAAAGTCCGCCCTCCAAAGCAGCCACCTTCTCCAGGAGAACTGATCTCTGTTGTCTGGGGATCTGTTGTAATAGCAGGAGATCTCCAGCCACCACCTGGAGGTTGGCGACCCTAATGCATCATGGTGGTGGTGGTGGTTGAAATCGGCCACACAAGAAATAGCTGACAGCTCTGAAAAAAATTGTAACACGAGGAGTCTACACACCTACACATTAGTAAGGTCCAGGGTTCCCTCTAAGCTGAGTTAGTTTGAGCCAGCTCAGAATTTTAGCCTCCGGCTCACACTTTGGCTCCTTGGGAGGAAAGTGATGGCGAACCTAAACAGCATGATAAAAAGTAGAGACATCACCCTGCCAACAAAAGTCCGCATGGTCAAAGCAGTGGTATTCCCAGTAGTCATGTATGGCTGCGAGAGTTGGACTATAAGGAAGGCCGAGCGCCGAAGAATAGATTCTTTTGAGCTATGGTGCTGGAGGAGACTCTTGAGAGTCCCTTGGACTGCAAGAAGAACAAATCAGTCAATCCTCAAAGAAATCAACCCTGACTGTTCCCTGGAAGGCCAGATAATGAAACTGAAGCTCAAATACTTTGGGCACCCAATGAGAAGGGAGCACTCACTGGAAAAGACCCTGATGCTGGGAAAGATTGGAGGTCAAAGAAGACGGGGATGGCAAAGGATGAGATGGTCAGACAGTGTCATCGATGCAACGAACATGAAATTGAGCAAACTTCAGAGGACGGTGGAAGACAGGATCTGGTCCATGGGGTCGCGAAGAGTCGTACTCGACTGAGCGACTGAACAACAACAACACACGTTTCTGTCTCAGCTCAGGAAAGATGGCCCCAGAGCAAACTAATTTAGGCAGTACCCGAATTGCTCGCTCACAACTTTAATGCCAGTAGCTAACAAAGTTAGAATTTTTGCTCACAGGACTTCACAGCTTAGAGGTGAGCATAGGTAAGGTCCACACACCTTACTAATCGGTGCCTTTTAACTTTCATTATTATCAATTTTCATGTACAAAATTTGCAACCTGCCTTTCTGCCCTTACAAAGGCCACCGGGGCGCCTAACAATTTCAAACATATATGATAAAAAACAAATTTTAAAGCCATCTCTTTTTTTCCATTGGGAAACCCAGCAAAGATAGCTTTTGCAAAGTCCTCTGGCGCATATTTGAAATTCTCCCCACTTTCAGTCTTTCCCCTTTCTGTAAGATACGTCTGTCGGTGCAAGAGGTCCAGTTGCACAACTCTGCTGTTGCGTGTGTTCATTTCCGTGGTGTTTCTTGCAGTGTGACTAAAGTCAGAAAGTGCCGATTTTACCACAGAATGGCGTCGAGATATTTTTCAGTCTTGAAACTGTGTGAACGGGAACTTTGGTGAGATGAATCCTTGCTGACCACTTCACACAAAGAAGCAGGGGCTGTATTTGCCCTCCGTCCATTTCGATTCATGACCATGTGAAGAAAATGTAGAGTTAACAAGCTACTTACACTAAGACAAGTACGGTCACGTCACTGATGGAGTCTTCGCCTGTGCAAAAAATGCAATCATTGTATGACAATAGCAATGAGCAGGGGTCATTTCATAGAAAAAGAGGTGCAGGAGCTCATTAGCATAACTCATTAGCATATGCCACACCCCCTGACATCATTGGAAGTGTGTCAGAAGGCAACACCCACCGCTCAGGCTCCACTGGACTGTTTTAGATTGCTAGCTATTGGGGGGTGGGGATGTGCAGATCTGCCCTCACAGAGGAGGGAGAGCTTGTACCTGAATAAAACTTGGTCTTAAAGGTGCCACTGGACTGTTTTGAACTGGGGCAGGGGCGGGGGCGGGGGGGCTCTGCAACTTACCTGGCTGCTTCTTGCTCTGACTGAGGGCTGCTGGGAGCAGGGGGTGGGGCTTGTTGCATGTGCCCGCCCCCTGGGCTCTTTACTGCCAGAGCTCCGCTCCTGTGCGCTCCCGCAGGAAATGACCCCTGCCTGTAATCCTGAACAGCCAATTAGATGACCTCGCAACTTGCCTGCCATAGTTTCAAGTGCAGATGTTGGGAGTATCCATTTGCCATCACCCAAGTACCAAGGATGGACCTCCTCTTTGCTGATGCGCCGTCTGGAGGCCCAGATTTGGCCGAATGAAGTTACGGATCACATGTAGTTTATTGCAGCCCCATCATCCCCCTCCGCGCCCACTGACTTGTGCTCCCTGCACAAGGAAATGGCAAAGTGTTGGATTGTGGCCAAGGAGCAGAGCATCTGCATCGCCTTTGGTTCGATTCAACATTGGCTTCTCTTATGTAGGTTTTTGTGGCTTTTTGGGGGTTTCCCCCCCCCCCCCCCCCTGGGGCTGCAGTTCTCAGTGCAGAAAGAAAAGCCAGAATTCGGAGGATTATGACTCAGCTACTATGGAATCGAGCATTTTAACACCAAAGCATAGAGGCTTCCGCAAATCTTAGCCCCAGAGTGTGACAATTGCAGGCTGGGAAACGGGGGGTGGGTGGGTGGAGTAGATCTCTAAATAGCAAGCTCTCGACCACTTGAGATGACAGTTCTCAGCT